GGTAATGCTACCACCCTCTGCATTCTACCTAGAAGAATCATGAGGATTGTTTTTTGGAAATGCTAGCCTCATACCCATTTTTATTATTTAAAAGTTAGGGTGTGTTTTCTAGCCTCTAGCTTATAGAACCTAGGAAGCTTAGTTTGGTGTGATCACAGTAAATGCCAAAACACAGGAATAAAAATATCTAGTATCAGTGGCCACCAAGTAACCACTCTTAGGGGTTGACCTGTGAAACAGGCATTCTATATGCATCCTGTACTCTTCTTCTTCCTCTTTCTTTTCCTCCCTTCTTCCTTCACCCCAAAGACACCTGGCTCTGAGACTAGTCCACCTCCAGTGAATTCTTAACAATTACTCAGAAATAGATTTATTTGCTGCCTTTGGACCTTCCTCCATCCTCTCCCACTGACCTCTGACCATTTCACTGTTCCTTTGCATCCAATTAAGAGGATGGACAGAGGAAATGAAAAAGATAGGACCTCAACATGAGAAGATTGTTTCTCATTAAAGGTCCTATTAAAAGATTTCATGGAAATCAAGTTGTTATAGCACTGCTTATCAGCCATGGGGTTTGAGGAATTCATTTGTTTGCAATTTTTATGCCATCGCCTCAAAATCCTCATATCTGAAATAGTTTGATGTTTAACTAGCTGACCAATAAGAAATATGTTTCCCTGACAGTGCTTACAAATTTTCAAACATGTATACAATTGCAGAGGGCCTTGGGAAAAACTGTTAATAAGATGCAATTTATCTGCTACTTTCCATTTTGAAATTCTTTCTTCCGTTTTGGCTGTCTCCCCTCTACCCATCCGCCCATATCTCATGCATCTGTTCCCATAGCAACTTGGTCAAGCTGGCTGTGTTTTCACAAGGGTTTCTAGAATATGAAAATTAGGAGGCCTTATAGAAGAATGATTTAATAATAGAACTTCAGGTACTGTCAAAGACCTGAGGGGAAAGACAGAAATCTTCCATGGCATAAGCCATGTAACCTGTTTTAGGACCCACATTCAAAATCTCTCATTGCTTATCCATATCAATGCTATTAATTAGGAGACAAGGTTTTATGGTCAAGAATACTACCCTATAAAAGAGTTCATATCATATACTTAAGAAATATTTATTGAATTTCACCTAAGTAGATGGTCCTATCTCTGTATGTTTAACTGTAATTAAAAAATAAAAAGTCCTAGAAGGCTGACGTGAGAGGATTGTTGGAGCCTAGGAGTTTGAGGCTGTAGTGAGCTATGATTGAGTCACTGCACTCCAGCCTGAGTGACAGACAGGGCAAGACCCTGTCATTAAAAGGAATTTTTAAAAATTATAATAAATATACAAAGTGCTATGGAAGTATAGATTGGGAGAAATACTTTTGCCTCAAGCACGTCTAACTCTACCTACAAACTCAGTTTTGTATTTTATTTCTTGATCCTACCTACCTACCAAACCCTTGTCAAGAATGCTGAAATGGAGAGTTATTGCAGCTGAATTTACAGAATAAATGTGCATTCTCAACTTATGAACTCTGAGTAATAGATTGCTCACAGGTTCTGTAATTGTAACTGTTATGTATGGCTATGTGTCTTATGTAGCGTGATCCACATGCTAGGTAAGTTGCAAGGCCACCTGTTTTGCCAGTCTTACACAGCACACATCACTGACATTTCTTACACTCTCATTGGCTTTCAGATTTATATCCCTGTCTTTTCCTTATTCAGATCTAAGTAGAAACTTGATTGGCAAAAAATCAGAATATCATCTGATGACATTTGCATTTACCAAAAGAAGGGTAAGAAACATTTTCACTGGCAATAAAATAAAAGCAAATGTTTTCCTCCACCTCCTTTGGGGACTCTTCCTTTGTGATTTGAGAGCTGTTGCTTTACTAGTTTTTTAACACTTTTGGAAATTGGAAGGAGGAAAACAGGTAAAAGTGCTGTCACGTGATCAAGGCAGGTAAATTCTCTGAATAGAATGACTGTGTTCATCCTTCTGCTGTGATCCCACAGTTGATAAAATCCCATGCTACAGAATGATTTTCTTACCCAATAATATTGGCATATATATAATTTTGGATTTGTATTTTTTAACATACATTTATTATTGCTTCCATACTACATTACATGGAACCATAAGAGAGCAATAACAGCGATTTGGAATTACATAATAGAAAGCTGTGATGGATTACATCTGAAACATCCCTTCTTCTTTGGTACAGTAATAAAAACATAAAAGGAACTTGATGATTTTTGTGAAACGAGAATGAGAATTAACTAACAGAGTACAGGGTGGTTGTCCCACTTTGCTTCTCTGAATATCTAGTTGGGCATCTCTGTTACAACTACCAGCCTGAGGAAAAGGACCCTAACCTACCCTGAAGAGGTATGGCTATGGAGCTGAATGAGAAGCCTCAGCTCCAGGTATTATCTTGATGGACTGTATGGTCCACAAACTATGGACTGTAGGCTAAATGTGAATCATCTGTTTTTGTAAATTTACTAAACTGCATAATGAACATTTGTATATCTAACCTTTGTATACCATAATGAACACTTGTATACCTAACATTTGTATACCATAATGAACATTTGTATACCTGAATTGTGCCCCACATCTTTAAAGTAAAATTTAAAAAAGAAAAGTTTACTAAAACACAGGCATGCCTACTTGTTTACATACTTTCTCTGGCTACTTTCCTGCAACAGCATCAGAGTTGAGTAGTTGCAATAGATCTCATATGGCCTAAGCTCTTTCCTATCTGTTCCTTTACAGAAAAAAAAAAAGTTTGTTGGCCCCCAGCCTAAATTATTTTTACTCCATAGTTAGACTACTTGTAGAGAGTGTAGCCAGAGTATACAGAGGAAGACAGGAAGTGCCACTCCTTGAAATTGAAAATGTTAACCTTATTAAAGACAGAAGTAGATTACATGTATTTGTGCTATGCTAATTTGCTATTAATTGTGAAAATATCAAAGGGAAAAACTATCATTATTTGAAAATCCATATATTCTGGCCACTAGGTTAGAAATCTTTCATAAAATAGGTTTTATGAATTATTATTATTATTAATTTATTTTTTAATGTAGGCTTTCCTGGAGATGGGATCTTAGAGAAAAACAAAAACAAGCAAGCCAACAGGCATACCAAACACTCAGGTTTATGATGGAGATCCTGGAGGGGACAGCATGCTCTGGGGCAGAGTCACTGACTGCTCATTAGTGCCCAGACACAAAAGGTTGTTAAACTCAGACTCCCAGTTTGAAATGCATTTTCCCTACTGTGCAAGGACAGAAACTGATGGTTTTGGAGGCACTTGCTACAGACTTGCTACACTTGCTACAATCTGTAAAGGGAGAGTAAAATGAAACATGGCAGGAATAGGTACACACTCACTCAGCAAATTAATGACAGCATCCATGGATACATAGGTATTTTGTGGCAATTATTTTTTTTTAAATGGTGACTTAAAAATCATAAACTTTCATAGCCAGAATGAATTAGAGACTTAACATGATTTGAATTCTATGAATTATATCCTAGAAAAAGAAACATAGGAAGGATTTAGGTAGATTGGTAGTAGTAGAGAAAGCAGTGCTGCCATGTAGATCTTCTAAGTCCCTGCTCAATGGTCTCTCTCTCTCTTTTTTTTTTAACCCAAATTATGCTTTCTGGGTTAGTTTTTCATTTTTGTCCCCACGTTGATCAGAAAGTGAACTTAACATAGTAATGGTTCTCACTGATTATATACAAGACATCTCATCCTTTGTCAAAGTTGCTGGGAAATATTCAACCTAATTCTTTTCCCTGTACCATTCATACATTTTTGTGTCCTTTCATTTTCAATATATGCCTATTTGAGAATGTGTCTATTCTTTTTGGGCTTGCCTGTCTCTGTAAATTCAGTTTTCTCTTGCAGAAATGCCTTATGTCTTGACTTGCCTCCCTGAGCCTGACTGCTTTCTAGTTGGGCCCTTCGTTCTTGGATTCTGGATCCCTTTTGAAATAAGGAGCAGCACTCCATCCTTTCTTGGCAGACATCTAACCTTCCTTTCAGAGAAGAAAGAGTCAGGTAAGATGTCTGTGAAAATAAAGAACAAAAATTGAAAATGACAGAGCAAGCCAAACAGTAAGAAAATAAAGCTTTGCCTCAAAAGAAAAAAAATTAGTACTAAAGGAAAGGGAAATAAATGGTCCTGGCAAAACTTGTTCTCTTTTCTATTCATTTTGGGCATGCAGGGGGGTTAGAGAGAGAGGAGATGTCATTTGTCAATGCTTCTCCTGGCTAGTTATCCCTCAAACTCTGCCCAAACCTGCTTGCCCCATCAGCACTGCTCTGGATAACCTCACCTCTGCCTTGCTCATCTAAAATAATAAAGACGATTAGAAATCTCTATTCCACTCCCAACTCAACTACAGTGATGGTACGGTAATGAGCAGTGTCCGTTTTAGCAGCATCCTCATTCATGGTGCCTTGGTAAGTTTCTGCTTCTAAAATGCCCTCTGGCTTTAGATCAGAGAGTTATCCTCAAATTTTCTATTTTTGTATCCAGGCACTCAGTTTTCCAGGTTAAGATTGTCCCCATCAAGGATTAAATAATGTCTAAGGTCACAAGACAGTAGGAAGGCGGTGTGAAACATTTGATTCTTTGTTTCTGTGTCACTGGCTTAAGACAGTACTCTGATCACTCACAAACAGCAAGATGACACAATCTAAGCCAACATTTGGGTGACCCAAGTAACAAACCTGGAGATGGTACCAGAACCAAAGCAGAGATTTCTTATAATGTCCCCAAAGACAGAATTGGGTAGCAGAAAATGCCACACACAGCCATATGCTTGTTCTTTTCCCAAGTACTTAGTGGGGCCACAGGTGAAATATGACCAAAGGAATTCATAAAGATATCAGGTCCCAGAAACCACATGGTTACACTTAGCCCACTTTATTTTTCAAAGTTGTCTTAGTAAAATTATCCTTCAGAAGCTGCCCCAATTACCTGTTGATGCTGTTTTTCTGCGCTAACATCTGCCAGTCCTTGCCTTTGGCATTGGGGGTATCAAATGTAGCACAAATCCGCTGTCTGATGGAGTAGGGAATTTTGAAGGCTTTGGGGCCAGTTTGTGCAGGGAAAGTGCTGTCCTCTTGTGCAAAAAAAGTGATGGTTTCTCTTTCACTCTATAAACAAGATAAAAAAGCATGGTAAGATCCAACTGAAAGTATTAATGACCAACACTTTTATTTTTAAAGAAAATCTATGTTAACACACATGCAAAAAAAAAAAAGCCTGCCTATTTTGATGGACTCTATAAAGTACACTGATATGTCTCCCTTTCTTCTAAGATAGTAAAGAACTTCTCTAGTAGCCTAATAGATTGTGTACTGGGGATTTACAACAGCATCTTCTACTCAGGGGAGTCACAATCACCAGTTTCTAACATCCAAAGAGCTGTCAGGTAAGAGCAGAATTGGACTTTTTTTTCCTTCCCCCTCTCAGGGATAGATATAGAATCAGTAGGAAGAAGCTACAAAATGACAGATTTCAATTCAGAATAAGGAATGACTCTTTGATCATCTTAAATGACCAATGATGAATGACCTGATTAAGAGAGCTGGCTGGGAAGTGCCATGTCAGAAAACCTGCAAGCATGTGATTGTATGTTGATTATTATAAAGTTCATTCCCCCCTCATCCTTAATGTTGAGTTATTTTATAGTGAATATTTTGGTTTTGTTTCAGAATTAAATTACTTTGGTAAAACAGAGCCAGCCGTGAGTCAGAGATGACATATAGACTAAACAGTGTAGTGGTATAGCCCAGAAGGCTACCCTGCTTCTGATTTAAAGCTGTCTACTGAAGATCTCTTATTTCCATACATCACAGCAATTCAATTATTATATCCAACATGTCATGACATAGAAATTTGCCAGACTGCAGTGGTTGCTAATAAGTTTATGTGGACTAATAGAGTGTTAAGGACTTAAAAATATCTGATTGTATCATTTCCATGATTGTAATAAAAAACAAAAGGGATTCTGCTGATGTGATTAAGGTTCCTAATCAGTTGGCATTGAATCAGTTATGAGAGAGATTTTCTTAGGTGGACCTGACCTAATCAAGTGGTCCTTAAAAGAGAGAAGAGATAGCTCTCATCTGGAGGCATGTCTTCTGCTGGCCAAGAAAGCAAGCAGTCATGTTGTGAACCTCCTATGGAGGGTGTTGTATGGCTGGGACCTACAGGCAACCTCTAGGGGCTGAAAGTGACCTTTGGCCAATAGCCAGTAAGAACATGGGACTTGAGTCCTATAGCTGCAAAGAATTAAATGGTGCTAACAACATGAATAAGCTTAGAAAAGAACTCTGAGCTCCAGATGAGAACATGCTCTGGCCAGCACCTTGATTTTAGCCTTGTGAGATCCTGATCAGAGAGCCCAGTTGTACCATGCTTGCTCTTTTGACCTACAAAAACTGCTAAATTTGTGGAAATCTGTTATGCAGCAAAATTAACATAATACAAGGAGTAAAGTATAAGGTCTAAGATCTAAAGGATATCTCTCCAAGAAAAAGAAGTCTCATGGTCAAAACATTTTAGAAGTACTGTGTTGTATATCCTCTTTTGGAAACTCAAAGTACATGTTATATTACACATATACTATGTACAGGTTTCAGTCCTCTTCCTGGAATATTATAGAACAATGCTCATTAAAACTCTTCTAGTATTTGAGATTAGCAGAGTCTAATAGAAAAGCATGGATTTTAGAATTATAAAGACCCACTTTGGAGTAAGATTCAATACTTCCTAGCTCAATTATCTTGGATGCTATATTACCTCTCTCAGTCTCAGTTTCCTTATCAGGTTTTTTGGGGGGTTTTCTTTTGTATTTTTGTAGATTACACAGAGGTTATAAAACTTGGAAACGAAATCAGCTGGGCGTGGCAGCGCATGCCTGTAATTCCGGCTACTTGAAAGGCTGAGGTGGAAGGATCGCCAGAGCCCAGCAGGTCGAGGCTGCGGTGGCCGGGAGCGGCCACTGCACTCCAGTCTGGGTGACAGAGTGAGACTCCAACTCAAAAAAAAAACTTGGAAACATTCATCCAGATAACTTGTGACATAGGTGAAACTAAAATTCTGATATCTTAATAACCAGTACTTATTTCACTACAACAGTACTTATTTTACTATGTTACCTTTCTTCAAGACAAGCACTAAAAAATCCACAGAGTCTGGTGACTAAAGGAAATGTTCTCTGAGTCACATTAGCTTTATACTTCAGGAATTTATAGTAGGAAAGACTTCATGGAGAAGGTGTTTGAGTTGGTGTTGAAAGGTAGGCATTAACTGAACAGAATCGGATAGATAGGTGGTTATTCCAGACAGAGTGGACAATTCTGTTCTATTGAATGGTTATAAAATAAACCAACTCAGCTTCTTACTGCTTAAAATAGGTTACAAGATAGATACATCATTTTTATCATGGTTTGTAAAATTTATTCTAGCCTCTAAAAATGCAAATCAAGTAGGAATAATTTCCTCGCATATTTTCTGACTCACGTGTATGGAAGAAACTAGAAGAAAAATTAACAAATTCTATACAAGTTAACACAGTAGCTGTCATTGTAAAGTGACACCAAAAGGTGTTAACCCCAGCAAAGATAGCTTGCCAATGAAACTGAAAACACTGCAAATGTTCATGCCAAAGGATCCCAAGGGACCAGATTGGCTTCTAAAAGCCTTCATGGTACCTGCAAATTATTGACCAAGCTCTTGTTTCCTGTTGGCATTTTAAAAACCATCTTGATGCATGATGTCCTCAGAAAAAGCTGGATGAAGTGGTCTTATTTGAAGGTGAATAAAGCGTTATGAGACTAAATATAAAAACAAGTAATTTTTCAATTATTACACTTTAATAACTAGGCCTCCATTTCCCTCTTAAAGTTTCAAAATTTAAATATTTTCATGCATAAGGATGACACTTTATATAACATTTATGATGCATTCTAACAGACACCTGGGCCAAGTAATAAGGATCCTGTAGATACATCACATTTTCTGATTGTTTAAATTAAATATGCAGGGGAACAGTAGATTTTCATGCTCTGCACATCTGAGATAAGCGGCTGGTACCTGGTTAGCTTAGGGAGTTGTAAATCAATGAGAAATTCCAAATATTCTGTCTCTGTTGTAACAGACAAATTATCCCCCAACTTCTACCACTTTTGGAAGAAAGATAAGAGAACTGCTTGAAGGGAAAATTTTAACATGCGAGATTCCCATTTAGGTTATTTCTACTGAAGAAAAAAAAAAGACTCTTTAATAATATTACATTAATAAGGAATGATGAAATAAATTACTTGAGATTCTACTTCTCTTCAATATTTGCAAAACTGTTTTACTCTGGTCTACAATTTTAGAAGGGATACTGTTACTTTACAGTATCAATAGGGAATGATTATCAGTTAATTCATTAGGGTTAAATTTAAGGGGAACCAACCTGTTTCGAAAGATTGACACGATAGTGGCCACTCTAAAGAGCAAAAAAGATATATTATCTTGGTCACTGAAATAATTTTTAAGTGAGGGTGACATGAGGAATTTATTTATTTGAAAAATTATTTGGATAAGAGCATAAAGGGATATCATAGATGTGATATTGGATATAAAGAATCAAATGCCTTCAATGAGGATAATTATTTCATTGATTTAGACTTAAAATCAATATTTAAGATCTATAGCTTAGCTGGGTTCAGTGGCTCAGCCTGTAATCCCGCGCCTTTGGGAGGCTGAGGTGAGTGGATTGCCTGAGCCTGCGAGTTCGAGACCCACCTGGGCAGCGAGACCTCATCTATACAATAAATCAAAAATTCAGCCTGGCATGGTAGCGCATGCCTGTAATTCCAGCTACTTGGAAGGCTGAGGTGGAAGGATCGCTGGAGCCCAGCAGGTCGAGGCTGCAGTGGCCGGGAGTGGCCACTGCACTCCAGTCTGGGTGACAGAATGAGACTCCAACTCAAAAAAAAAAAAAAAAAAGATTTATAGCTTAATATTATATATCTTATATTACAGCATTAATAACAAAATCATTCAAGCTGTATATCTTGAATATTGATTATATATCAAATATTGATTTTGTACATATTAAATATTGCATATATCATATATTGATTTATATATATTACATATTGATTTTATGTATTAAAATATTGATTTGTATATCTTAAATACTGATCTTATATATCTTAAAAATTAATTTAATATAGATCTTAAATATTGATTTTTAAGTAACAAAATCAATGCAATGATCATCCTCATTGAAGGCATTTAGTTCTTTATGTGCAGAATCACATCTATCATATCTCTTTGTGCCTCTTATCTAACTGGTTTTACAAATAAATACAATCCTTTATATCACCCTCACACTTAAGACTATATCTCTCTTACACCTCTTAATACATATGTATATATAGATCTTATACCTCTCATGGTTCCACTGTTAAATTCAGAAAATAGTGACACTAAGAGAATTCATTCAAGCATTCAAGTAAGATAAGGAGTGGGACCTCTGAGCTTAAGTATGCATATAGGACTCTTGGGTGGGTGGATAGAAGGAGGGATATTGAAAAAAAAAAGAAAAAGTTAGACAAATAAAAAGTTAAAAAAGGAAAACTTCTCAAAGGCATATACTGGAAGATTCAAAAGTTTAAGTTCTATATGGTTGCTATTGAGTTTAATCAACAAAACCCTGATTCCTAACTTATTAAGCCATGTGAATGTAGCCTTTTTTAGCCTAATGCCCGTGAAATATGATGGATGTACTTTAAAAACTGATCTATTATTCCTACCTCACTGACTGATCTAGACCCATGTCTAGAATGTACCCTACCTCCTCCCCAGGGAATCTTAATTTCTCAGCCCTTTCTGTATCTTCACTTTTGCTGGAACCAAAAAAGCAAGTCACTTTTTGGAGAAAAGAGGATAGTGTGTATTCATCAGCTATATCACCAGATGTATGCTTTTTCCAGGAGTCAGGCAATTCCAGGGTTGGAAAAACTTCAAGAAATAATTAAATCAAGACATCCATTTGTAGGTAAATGGATGTATAGGATATCTATTCTGTTCTTGAAGAGCTATAGAATGAATATTTGTATATAACACAGATGATTATATACTAACTTTACTTATTCTGAAGAACTTCTCAATTTTCATATACATTCATGTACTTGAAGACAAAATTGCTGGCGCTGTGATGTTTCTCAAAAGCACCTGAGCCCCCAGAGGGAAGGCTTATATTATGGACAAAGTCCACAGTTAAGGCTAATACACTGGACCACCCTGACTGGGATGTGGAAGTAGTTAGTGTAGTATGGTAGTCAGACTTTGATCTTGAAATCAGGTCTCTCAGTTGGGACTCTGGTTCCCCCATGATCTTAGACAAAAGGGTTCACATCTTTGAGACTTTTACATCATGTAAAAATGGTGGTGGCAATAATACTTAATTCACAGAGTTGGGATGGCTGTATGACAAATATGAAAGCAAATGAAGCCAGGCTCGGTGGCTCAGCCTGTAATCCCGCGCCTTTGGGAGGCTGAGGTGAGTGGATTGCCTGAGCCCGCGGGTTCGAGACCCGCCTGGGCAGGCGAGACCTCATCTCTACAATAAATAAAAAAAAATTAGCCGGGCGTGATAGCGTGCGCCCGGTTCCAGCTACTTGAAAGGCTACTTGAAAGTAGTTCCAGCTACTTGAAAGGCTGAGGCGGAAGGATCGCCGGAGCCCAGCAGGTCGAGGTTGCGGTGGCCGGGAGTGGCCACTGCACTCCAGTCTGGGCGACAGTGAGACTCCAAATCAAAAAAAAAAAAAAAAAAAAAAAAAAAGAAAGCAAATGAAATGGTACCTGAAATATAGTGGCTTTCAAAAGTTATTAGTCTTCTTCTGACATAGAAAATGAGAACAAATTATATTTGTCTAAGAAATACAGTTTATTACAACATGATGGAGACGTACTAGGCAAAATTCAGTGGTAATGCTTGAAGCAATTAATAAAGTGATCCTTGACAGGATCAAGGGTTACAATGCTTCTTAAATGAAGTAACCCTCAAATTGGATGACTGTAGCCTAACAATGAATATCTAAATATTATACTGATACTTGCCTCCTTTTACAAGAAATATTTCAAAGTGACTGTAAGCTTGAGAAGCATTAGAAATTGTAAAGGATGGGCTTGTGTTTAGTAGTTAATTTTCCTTCTGTGCACTTTAAGAATTTATTTAAGCAAAGAGCAGAAACACCAGGATGTTTCAACACTATCCTATTCCTCTTACATAAATATTCTGTAACAGCAGAAGTTGATCCCTAATATCCGGGTGCCTTAAAAAACAAAAACCTTTAAGCCTAGAATTATTTTATTGGCCTGTTATCAGACATTTAGGGCTGTTTGGATCAGAGGCATCTTTATGTTCTGGCTTTTTATGCTTGCTTCTGAATACCAACCCTTCTTGGATTTTCTTTTAATTTTCATTTTAAAACTTTCCTATAATTTTTATTTTGCTTTGAAATGTATTATGTTAAATATGTCATGATGGTTCAAGAAAGAAGCTCTAAAAATATCCCACCCCAGCTTTCTGGATCTACCTTCTTGATCAAAACTACTTGAGCACATAATGCTACTTGGCAATAATAAATGCAAATACCACATAAACATGTTAGTTAAGACAGCTATCAATTTTAAGGCACAATCCTTTGAAAAGCCATTCACTCACTCCTCAGAAAAACTATTTGGAGAATTAACAATACTCGTTTTGCATAAACAATGAATTAAAATGAGAATGAAGAGAAAGGATAATTCCATACATCTATAAATCTTCCAAGGAAAAAACCCTGAAATTGAGTAGTATGTATATAAATGTGTTAATTGTTCTGCCAAGCCCAAATGAATAAGTATACATATTATTTATATATTAATAAATGTATAAATATGTGGATATATGTATATATATGTGGGTATATGCATATATTTATTCTTTAAGTGAACAACAAAATAATACATATTTCCTATACTAGCCAGGAATGACATTAAGACTGCTAAACAAAAGCATCACACCCCTGCTACTCTCCTTCTTCACTCCTACATAACCATTCAGAAGGGGTTGCTATTGTCTACTTTATAAGCTCATATCCTAAGCTCTGAAGTCACTCAATGGTTAAGGCAAATTAAAGCCATGGTAGAAATCAGAGGTCTTTTTGCAAAAGTTCTCAAGTGAATCCTCCTTTGACTCCCACTTTAACTCTGTCCTTCAGTAGTGGTATGACTTGAACAAAGTCCTTTATCTCTTTGCACTTCCTTTTCTTACTTTGTTAGAATGAGATTAATATCTAACCTGTCCTTCTTATATTACTGTATTGACGGATCAAGGTTGAATGGAAATGTGGATGTGTGGCATCCGGAGCCTGGCGGGCATGAGAAAATGTAAGACAAGGAGCTAAGGCCCCAAAGATGAAATAACACATCTAGGGAAACTGACTTCTGGAACACTAGTCAGAAGCAGCAGAAAAACGGTCTGAGGGTGACCTTGTGCCTCTTTGTGGTTTGTGTTTTAACTGTATCATCAAGCTAAGGCCTATAATGAATCTCAGATGATATCTCAAGCCTGCTATAGATGATGAGACTTCTTATGGTTTTGTGTATCAAAGGCCTTGTACAAATTCCTCCCCGAAGGTCCCTCCACAGCCTAAGCTCTCTGATGGGTTGAGTTTCCCTGCCCAGTAGGAAACTCGGTTCAATCTTCAGCCTGAGAAAAAGTTTATTTGTGTATCTCAAAGCTCTTTCAGAACCCGACCAACCTGGCTGAGATAGGCATAGCTTTATTATTCCGATCGTCCTTTACAAAGAGGGTAAAATGACCTATAGATTAAGGACTCACCTCTAGGATTGATGTCTGCACTTGGAGGATCTGTTCATGGCCTTTGAGCTGCCGTATGCAGATTTTGCAAGACAGCTGGGTGGTGGTGGGCGTGTAACGCTCCAGGGAGAAGGCACAGTGCAGGGGCTGTCGGTTACTGCACCACACACGGGAGAAAGGGACTTCCTGTAGGGGAGATGGAGAGAAGAGGGTATGGTGTGCAGAGCCTGGCTAAAATGAACTAAGAACAGGAGAGACGTAATAGCAATAATGATGATGATGATAATGACGATGATTGCAGCAGAGATAATTGCCTAAGCGACTTTGGTGGAATTGTTGTAGAAATAATGTTCCAGCATATGTCAAGCAGAGCAAAAGTAATTAATGTCAATTCCAATTGACAACATTTGAATTCCAAAACCACACTGCAAGAGCTTGGTTTTCACTTGCTGACACATAATTAAAAGAATACCAATAAAAATTAATCATCATTTTTTTCCCACTGAAAAAAATATTTTCATTTAGAGGACAACTATGGTCCATGCTTCTATTTAAACCTGGGTAGGATGCTATCTTCTCACTTAAGTAAAAATTACGCTAAGTAACTGACTGACCAGAATGTATCCTCATGCCCTCATGCCACAGACTTGTGAAGAATTGGGTGAGAACACAATATTGCATAAAAATTAACACTTGCAAATCACACACATATCCCAAAGAGAAAGAGAGAGGGTGAGAGAGAAAAACACACACACACACACACACACACACACACACACACACACACACACAGCTACCCCAGTGTGACATAGTTTTCCAACTCTTAATTTGTTCAATTTGTCCATTCTACAATTATGCAGAAGGTGCCTGCTGATGGCCTAATACTGTACTAGGTAGGCAATAAGAAACATAACAAATTAGGTTCAGTCCCCACCACCAAGGGGTTTGTAGATAGTTAAGTGGCAAAAGAACTTTTTACTAAATGAGGAGAGAAATTATAAAATCTAAATAGATTACTCATTTTTCCTAGTCATTGCCACCAACTGAACTGTGCTCAGGCACGTGACTTTAAAATAGTGTGAAGTAGAAGTCAGTCATCAAAATTTTTTATGTACCAAAAAGTCTCTCCTTCTTACTCAAATGTCCTGGAGTCCTCAGTAATGACCATGCATGTACAACCTCTAGTTACCTTCATCCTCATTTTTTCTCTGTTTCTCATTTATTAATTTTCTCCTTTATCTGTTGCTAAAAATATAATTTTCTGTAGTACTAAAACTAAAAAGTATCAAAACATGTATCAAGTATGGAAGTTGGGGACCCTCAACTGTGACCGATGATGAAACCAGCATATGTCATGAGATTAAGGAGCATTACTGAAATTTAGTCCCCTCACTTTGAGGAACTATGAGTTATCTAGTTATTCCTGAGCTCTAATATGCACACTTGTTTGCATGCTTTGTTTCCTAATTTTACCTATAGAAAGTTCACAAGTTTTGATTTTGGATACTTCCTGGGGGAGCCAGCAAGGAAGGGTAGATTTTTAGATTGTTGCACATTTGCAGAGAAGAGCTAGTCTTAGGAAGTAGGAAAGAACAAAGTCAAACATTCACTTCTACCATGCATCTCAGCAACAGATCTAAGAAACTTGCAGGTTGTTTTGTTTTGTTTGTTCTTAATCCTGAACCAAAAGAATGGCAATGGACTTCTATCTCAAGAAGTAGAAACAAGAACTCAGAGAAGGTTTACAGGTGTGAAACCTACTGGCATTTCATTTATGTTATTCCTGTGCGAGATGTGGACTGTTAGAAATGCAACACTATCATTGCCATTCTCTCTTCTTCCCTTCTTGCCAGGGGCTGGAAGCCTAAAAACTACATTTTATGGACTCCCTTGCGGGCAGGGAGTTCACATTTCCATTCTACCAATGAGAGGCACTTATGGTAGATCTGGAAGGAAGACGAGGTGTGGAAACCATCACTGCTACCCTAACATCAGCAGGCAGGTCCAAGGTTTTGGCTGACAGCCTCAGGAAGGTTTATGGGAACTTCTGGTCATTCTCTCTGAAAATCCATTACTTCAGTGCTGGTGCAGTTTCCTGAAATTTCTGAACTTGATGGTTTCCTAATATTACTGGTGACTTTCTCATCAGATCTTGGATCCCCCAGGTTCTTCCAAGGTTTTATAAGCACATAAATCCCTTGGTTAAAATTTCCTGGGTTGAACTATCTTGAGTGCTTTCTGTTTTTTTTTCTTTTTTTCTTTCGAACTTCCTAGGCTTTCTGTTTTCTTGACCAAAACAATTCTTCTTGATTTGAGGAAGGTCTCTTAGAAACCGATATGAGGTGGGCAACACTGAAAAGGTGCCACTAGTGCATTCCTCATGTAGGTTGTCAACTAGAGAAAATGTTGGAAGAAGCACTAAGCTAATGACCACTAAGGAAGCTTTTGGCTGGAGTACAACTTGCTTGTACCACCAGCTGACAGCACAGGTCCATTTAATGATATCTTTTTCCTACATTCTTCTATCCCAAAAGTTTTACTTACAATTCCTTCTGTTTCCCTCAGGTAGTAGACACTGGTGCAGAGGCCACTTCTGACTGATGGGAACTCCTGAAAACCTTTAGCAGATGCCATTTTCCCTAAAACACTCCAAAATGACTTTTCACTTGTACCATAATATGCACTTACATGTTCTGCTATTTCGCCTTGTTGTATAACCTGACTCCCTATTTCTCCTTCTGAGCCTTTTCCATTTTGCAAACCACAGGTGGCTCTTCCTCCGCATCTCAGCCTCTTACACTTCATTCTCTGCCTACTCTAGTCTTCCAAGATCCCACCTGCTTACACTTGCCCAACTGCCATCTATCTGTGGAGGATTCCAAAAATATTATCTCTGGTTAATGGATATCTCCTTATCATCAATCCCTGGCATTATACCTACAAAGAATTTTATTTAACCTTTATTTCTATGGTAATTTTACCTTTTGATAACCATCTCTCTCCCATTGTGATTCTTTTCTTTTCTGATCTCCATTACACTTTACTATGGCTAAGTGTAGTAATCTACCCCCTATTTTTTCTGCTTTAATATCTACTAGACAGGGCTAATGAGGGGTTTGGGGCCTGGTGGGAAAGGGGAAACAGAAAGCAGGTGATTGGTACTCTTCAGGGGATAGTATTATGGTCTCTCTTTTACCTCTAATTATGAGTGGGAGACATTGATGTAACTAGCTATCTAGGAACTCTTTTATTACATGATTCCTTTGCTCAGGGGATCACAATGGCTGCTTGATGCCTGCCATGTGAAACCTAGTCTCTGGTCTGGTGTTTGAGGGTTTCTATCGTCTGTTGCCCTGTACTTGCTCTTTCCATTCTTATTTTTATTAGCCCTCAAATGAAGTCTCTTCTCTAAATCAGTGAAATTTTGCTGTTACTTTGCACCATGCGCTTCAATGAAAGCACATATAACTTAGAACTCTGTGATTAACAGGTGCTTTAGCCTAACTAAGGTAGTTTTGTGCAACTAAGCTAACTAAGGAGCTTTTTGTTTTCTAAAATTGAAATTTGAGTTATTATAGTGTATGGCAAGCACTTGGACTTCAGAGCTTGAGAAAAAGCCATGCTCAAGATCTAGCTTTTAAGCAAACCTACATTTTTTGCAACTTGATTTGAATCCTTGGTAATGCTTACTTTTCTAAAATATTGGCATCAACCACTTATTTTAAAATGTCTTCTCTGGTATCATTTGCTAAATTTCCTGTATTTTCTCATGAAAACACTGAAAGAAAGGTAACCTACTGCAGAGATAATTTTTTCTTGCAGAAAGACATGCGAATCAGCACCCAAAAAAAAAAAAAAAAAATTCCTCCTTTCTTTTTCCATTCCATTGCACACAATCAAAACATTTTTAAAATCTGATTTTAAGACAGTATCAAAGGAATATTTTTTATTGTTGATTTGAGTAGCAGCTGCCAATAGTGCCCAACAAAACATTTAAAAGTAATAGAATTAGAAGCACTGTGATTAGCGTGTTTTCAGGGCAATCATCTTTGCTTTCACTTATTCAAAAAACAAAAACAAAAAACGCCAACATGCTCACTGAACTGACAGGAATTATGTGGAAAGTAATATGGGAGGACAAAGTGTAGCAAAGTTATGGGTGTTTAAAGAATTCTGGAAATGTTTTCATTTTGATTCCCATTATAATTAGGTTCCTAGCAGATGGAGAGAATGTAAATCATATCCTGGCAGGAGACAGACAGTGGGTTCTCCAAGATACATAGCATGCTGAAAAGACAGCTGCTTTTATCCTAGGGAGGAGACAACTCGACTATATGTTTGGTTGAATTTTAAAAATAAATTAATAATTTATTGTATTATGTTTATTACAGCTTCCCTACCCCATAGCCAGCAAGGAATAAAGGAAACTGTGATTTAGAAGCTCTCAAGTACCAGTAACCTATTGAGAGCAGAGTTATTTACCTCCCAGAGGAGGGTTGCTAATTTTACAGAGGGGAAAATAGCATATCCCTAATTGTAGTAGTCTTAAAGCCTGAGAAGAAAATGAAGAATCATGAATTGTTTATCTGGAGGGGACTAGCAATGTGGGCCTCAGGTATTTTTTGAACCAAGGTCAGTGGGTGCCACCATCTCTGAAGAGCTGGCATAGCCTTTCCTTACCTCTCACCCATCAAACCTGGCTTCATAAGCATGGTTATAGCATAACATTCCATAAACTATAATCCTCTAGAACTCAAATCAACTAGATTTAAAATCTTGGTGGTCCTTCTATAATATATAGGCTCTCCTTATGAAGCTCTGGACCCAAACTTGAGCTCTGCCATTCTGAAAACATTTCTCATGCAGTGTGTTGGTGTCTCATAGGACAGACAGTCTATGCACTGGGTTCCTCCCAGACCTGTGCCTTCCTGGGAAACTCCAACTTTCCTAGAAGAAAACAGGAAGGTTTCCTGGTAGAGTGGGGTTTGGCTACCAATTGTAATAAGTTGACTCCCAGATTTGAAGTTAGATAGAGGGACAGAGGAATAAGAAGGCAGTGCTACCAGAGGTCTTCCATGCATTGAGTTAGAGGATGATAGGGAGATTCACCAATTGGAGAGACTTATAAATGATGTCAGGGGTAGTGTGAATTTCTATCTCCACAATAGCTCTCTGCAATAACAAGATAAAGGGTCTGTTAGTTCCTAACCACTAAGCCCTAATGAAAAGCCATTCTCTATTATCCATGCTAAGTTTGTCAGTGCACATGATGTTGTACATGAGGTTCAAGCAGGCTGAACACAAACCCTCCCAAAGTGCTTCCATCTAATGCCTAGAGCAAACACAGCATGGCCATTAAGCCAAGCACAATATGCATTCACACAAGCTGAGGGATTTCAATGATGACAGGGACAAGGAAATTGGTGGTAGGGGTGGTAAAGAGAACAGAGGAATAGAGCGGAAAGCCATTTTGGGTAAGAAAAATGAGGTGGAAATGAAAACTCAGTGGCAAGCCTCCTGATGCCGAGAAAATTAAATTGTTTCTCAGCCTTCCAAGACTCTTTCAAATTATGCTCAATTACAAAAGGCAAATATTTATATATCTTCACAACCTCCATGTACTCCAACCCATCCCAGCAGTAAAGCTTGTTGGGTTTCCTTGTAAGTCAATGCTTCTTGGCTTTGGTTGGCGCTGTTGCATCCTCTGCGGTCAGGAGGCACTTAGCTACCCTAAGCCTCTTCTTCCCAGGGCTCTCTTTGGTATCCCTTGTGTTAGAATTATTGTTTAAGTGCAGCTGCAAGGTAATGGTTCTTTCATCTGATTTTTTATCTCCAAGCATTAAACTTAATAGTTCACTTTGGACTGAGTCACTTGCATTAGATCCATGAAATGAGGCCCTTATAACCCGTAAAGATTAATACAGAGGAATTTGCATGCCGACCAGGACTTGTTTTAACAATACTCTGAAGTTCAATTTGGACTAGAAACTTTAAATACTGCTTACTGGAAAACAAAGAGGTCTAGGTCTTGAACATCATAAACAATATATTTATGCATACAAAACTCCTCTCCATGAGGAGATGTGCTGAATATCCCCCCGCCCCAAAATTGTTCAGGGTTATAAGAGATGTTCATGCTGTTTGAATGCACTAAAACTGTACCCAGACAGGCAACTCCCCAGGTAATGAGAAGTCTGAAAAGTAAATTAAAAAATGTAGCCTTGTCCAAGTTTAAAACTCTGATTTTTAGAAGTTGGATGGTTGGTGATTCAACTATTTTCTGACTATCATGGTGTGTGCTGTCAAGGATTTTTTTCTTGCGATTTGGCTTGTTTTCATTCTGACAAGCTGGTATACCTGTGAGTAGTTTTTTTAAAAAATGAATGCTGTGAGGTTGGAAAGGTTAAGATACCCACAGGACTTTATACGTTATGCTGATGGGCAGACCAGAGACTTGAAAGCGTTCTGTGATTCCAGATCAGTGTGAGTCCACCAGAAATTTAACCAGAGTTCAGGAAAGGCCCAGATAACTGACTCAAGAACTATGGTAGACTAGCCTGTTGCCTACAATGATAATATTTATAACTGGGAAACTTCAGTGGCAGGATCACACATCAATAAGAGATCTGTTCATGCTAAGCATTTTCTCAAAATCCCTAAAGAAAGTCTGAGTCTCCCTGCAATGTTAAAAATAAAATTCTAATAAGAGACATGTGGACAATAATATATAAAAGTATCTTTAGATATTTATAAAAAGACTCTAAATAAGGCATATTCTTTCTTTGCTTTTCAATTTGTAATTTTTCCTTCTTGCCTTGCCCACCAAGCACTTCATATATGAAGGACAACGTCTCTTATTCTCACCTGACCAGCCATAGCTCTTTATAATACAAACTCATCATCCTTAAAAAGTTTCTGGCAGACGTTCAGTTGTTTCATTGCTGAATACGATTAAAACAATGTCTTATAATGAACCGATTTTAATAAAAACAAACCAACACACAAACCTTACTCTCCATTGTTTAAGTGGGCATCTTCAACCTATATCGAACAACAATCCAAACAGGAGAGAGGAGAAATGTCACGTTACCTGACTTGCAAGCACCTTTCCCCCACCTGTTAGAATTCTGTGAATTTATGACAATATGCTTCGCTTCTTGTGTGCAGCCCAAACTGTTAACGTCTCTGTGACAGTTTTGAGGTGAAATCTATTCTTCAAAGGAGAAGGAAAATCAAGTGAACCCTCACCAAGTTTGGTGACATGCTTGCTGGTTAAAGCAAAGCTGTTTTTGTTAGAAACCCATTTGGCCAGTACCTGGCATGCAGTGAATGGTTTAATTCTCCAGAGGAATGGGGGAATATCAAGGACAGAGATCTGAAGACTAAAGGTATTCCCTTTGAAATGCAGCAACTTTGGTTCTTCCAGTAGTTGTCCACCTTGATGCCTTTCATCTGAAACCACTTCCTACAGGGGAGGAAGAAGAAGAGAAAAAACAATGGAGTATTCATGTAGAATCTTACATATTTTCTCTATGTGCATTCATATGTTTACCACCACGTGTTTCCCACAAATGGACAAACAGCATCATAGTCACACATCTCTTCACAGCTCCATATCCCTACAAGGCTCAGGACTAAGGACTAAAAGCTGCTGAGAAACAAGCACTTGGTAAGAAACAAATAATTGCTGTTTATTATTTGAGTTGCTTAGGCTTTTAAACACACTGTGCCTTTCTTGAAAATTAGAAGACCGCCCATGCCCCCAAGCAAACTGTAATACTGTTGAGTTTCCACAATTATATGTATTTCATTCTGAAATGGCCATAATCAAGGGATGTACTCATACTTAACCTGACACATCATCATATTTCACAATAATGGTAGAAATAGCCCCCTCCACTCTGGTTCAATTTTTCTTTACTAGCACAGGCATTATCCAATATTTATTCTTTTGGCTTAAATAAATGTTCTGGTGTGCATGTATCATGTTTATTTGTAGTAATATTCATAAAAGTTATTATGCCAAAAGGCCAAGAAAAAAAAAGTTGTTTATCAAGTTAGCTGTAGCTCAGAACAACAGAAATCAAATTTCCAAGAAACCCTTCTGTGTCTTCCACGAAAAATCTTTATACAATACAATCTAATACAAACTCAGCCCTCATACATTCTATTGAGTAAGCTATTTCATTGGTTCTAAATTTGTGGTGTTTAGAAATGTATGGGAGAGATGACAGGACAAATGAAAGTGTAGAACAAATATATATTCTATAAAATATTAAACTACTGTGGAGGTGAGGCTTTTAGTGTTACTGAAGGTAAGAGATCTCCTTAAATCCCTTTTTAAAATCACCACTAATTGACATATAATTTTCTTGCAGAGCTAGAATAAATACAAAAACGGAAATTTTTTATATCCTTTTAATCTTCCCGGATTCTAAAAAAGGTTGTAAGTAAGGTTGTAAAGTTGTAAGTTAAGGCAAATAGGTTTAACAACAAAATGCAACTTACATTTCAATTATCAGTGAGTAAAAACAACTTTACTGGTTATCTCATCCATCTCTTGTCTATAAGTAGAATGACATTAACAAAAGCATTTCTGACTAAGAAGCAGCCATCCAACTTTTATCCTTCATGTACACATAAACTGTTAATAGATTGTTAGTGTCTTTTCTTATGACCGAATGATTCCATTCCAAAGCCATTTTCTCTAGCTCTTTGGTTTTACTTGTAGGAAGGATGTTTCTTGGGGATTTTGGGTCAGCGTTAAGCTAGCTGTGATGAAGGAAATATTCTATATTTGTGCTGTGCATTGCGGTATCCACTAGCCACAATAGCTGTTAAGCACTTGAAATATGGCTAGAGTGACTAAGGAAATTAATTTTTCATTTTAATTAAAGTTGAAGATCCACACGTGATTAGCAATGATCATACTGGACAGTACAGCACTTGGTGATTCGTAACATGTAGATTTCAGAGTTGAGCACAATAACCTGGTAGCCATTGTCTGGTGGGGGCTGCAAAAGAATGGAAGGAAAGAGGCAGAGTGGGAAGGAAAGAGAATGAATTTTAAACGCCTACTTGGGCGAGACATTAGGCCTTTAACAGATGCTGGTCACTGATTTCTTCTTTTGAGATAAAATAAATGCCCACCTGAGCTATGCTTAAGCTGGATGCTGTGTATATAGAAATGAAACCGTTTCTGCCACCAAGAAGCTCACAGTGTAGTAAGAAGGTCAGAACAGTAGGCATATGATTATAATTTAGTATATAAGTTTGACCTCACATGTGTGCCCAGGAGGTTAAGCAAGACGAGGTGCCTAACACAGGTAGGAGGAGTGGCCAGGAAGGAAGTTGGAGGATTATGACCCTCCTAGAGGAGGTGATATTTGAGTTGAAACTTAGAATAAATATAGGAGTCAACTACTTGAAAGGGAGGAAGAAGACTTTCCAGACACTTAGCAGGGCACATACAGAGGGGTAGTGGTCAGACAGAGATGGTGTACAATACTGGACTGAAAAGTGTGTAGCTGGAGATGATGACAATGTCAAGCAGGGGCCAGGTCATGAATTCATGTGTGCCGTGCTAAGGACTATGCATTTCATTTTAGGATTATGTTGCTCAGGTTTTAACATGCATTGGGCATCTTTTGGGGTCTTTTGTACGTGAAAGAGTATTAATCTTGTAAACTGAAGATGGAAGCCTAAGATTCGAATCATATTTCTGCATAGTCTTCGGCAGATTACTTATTTTCTTTAGGGTTCAGTTCCTTACCTGGGTTTATTTATAGTAAGGCAAGATAATTAATATAATATATTAACCTATTTTTGCAAATCTGGTACGAGTTTAGAAACAAGTAGGTACAAATAAGAAGTGTGCTCATTTAAGCCACAGCATAACCGTTTGGCTCTCTAAAATACAAGGAGGGACCCCCCCAAAAATGAAATTATTTTTTGGAGGGTGGAACCCTTACAATACTGGCTTCCCCTGCTGGGTAAGTGTTCTAGGAACCCATTGCATCAGTGTACCAGCTAGTGTTGTTGTGAAAGGCTGAGTTCGGCTTCAGTGAATTTTGGGGGGAGATTCTTTCAACACGTTTGCCCATTTCATGATGAGTGATTTACAAATGCACCTGCCTACACCATCCTGAGTGTTGAGCAGTTTTTGATAAACAATGGCAGAACCCCTGTGCTCCACTCTCCCTAATCACCTTATGTCACTGGGAGAGACTGTTTTCGTTTGTTTTCCCAGATGAAAAAAGTCCTCAAAGGGAAACATTTTGCCGGCAGGGGCACTAAAAGGTGTCAAAATTGATGAGTTCAAAAACTGTTTTGAGCAGTGGAAAAAGTGTCTTGCATCAAATAGAGACTACTTTGAAGGTGACTGAAGTTTAGACACGTCAGAATAAATACACAATTTTTAGTAAATTTGATGGGTTTTTTTGTGTCCTCTTCGTATGCCCCTTTCCTTTACGTTTAACTTGCCTTAAGAGGCAATGAAGTAACTGACACCAGGAGATGAAGTGACTTGTTTAACTTGTGTAACATTGTTATGCTATGGTTTAAACAAACACATTTCTTATTTGTACCCACCTGTTTCTAGGCTCACACCAGATGAAGTGTTTCTTAGTATAGTGCTAGGTCATTTTAATATTTAGAAATTGCACAGAATCATCAAATTAGAAAGAAACTTAATAAAGATTTAGATCACTAAGTACTTCATTTACAGATAAAAACATGGAGACCCCCCACCTCAGAAGAAAGTTATCTGCCTAAAGCTATGCAGTTAATGGCAGAGCTAAGACTAGAACAGGGCAATTTGATCATAGTCCGGTGTTTTTTCTACTATATTTCCTTGAGTTTTTTTGTACTATACTTGACAGTTTTTAAGAGTCATATGAAGGTCAGACTATCATTAACTCTGTCCAGAAATAATTCTTCATTAGTGCAAGATATATGTATAAGGTGACACAAGTCAGTTTGTATTTGTCCTAGAGTTATATACATATGTACTGTCTAAATAGTTCTTGAAATGCAAGTAGAGAATATCAGAAATTTAAAAAATGGATGTCTACTCATAATTACCACAAAAGAAAATATTACCTTTAAAAAAGTTCTGCTTGCTGGGTGCGGTGGCTCATGCCTATAATCCCTTTATAGGGAGCACTTTCTCGGAGGCCAAGGTGAGAGGATGGTGAGAGGATTGCCTGAGCCTACAGTTTCAAGACCAGCTTGGGCAACTGGGCGAGACCTCATCTCCACAATAAATCAAAAAAATTAGTTGGGCATGGTGGCCTGAGGTTCCAACTACTTGGAAGGCTGAGGCGGAAGGAGTGCCTGAGCCCAGCAGATCGAGGCTTCAGTGGCTGTGAACATGCCACTGCACTCTAGCCTGGAACGACAGAGTGAGACTCCAACTCAAAAAAAAAAAAGAAAAAAGAAAAAAAGTTCTGCTTTATGGCCCCAAGTTTAAACACAATATGATTTATTTTTTTTTGCTTTTTTAGTTTACTACCTTAATCTGCATATATTGAACCAATTAACTGTGTCCTGTCATCTTGCACAAAATATTAACTATAGTTATTCTGTAACAAAACAATTATTAAAATGAAAAAGCCCAATCATAAACTAATTATTATATTTATATATTTGTAAAGGTACAATTAGCTTCAGAGCTAAAGAAACTTCTAAGTGAAAACTTTAGAACATTATCCAAATAAAATGGACTGTATATAACCCTGAGTTCCCTTTGCTTACAGTATTCCCCTGAAAGGCTGGACTTGGAAATCTCCATTTACAAATGCTTCTTGGATGATTCTAATGACCGGCCAAGTTTGGAAATCAGTGATACAAGCAACTCTGCTGAGCTACTTCTGAACCACTTCCATGGAGGTATCACTCCAACAGTAAGCCCTGATATTCACTTGATTTTTTTAAATCTGCCTTCTATATAAGGTGGAATGCTTGCTAAATCTCTGATGCTATTGCTGAATTAACATCTGAGTTAAGGAACTAGAAAACAGGGTCTGGTTGGTTTCTTAAAATAAAATGCACCTCAAGGCTCTTGATGGTGGTTTTTCTAGGCATTCTACTTCATCATTTCACACTGGGGTTGCAAGTCATCCAGTTCTAGGAGCTGTGGCCAGAAGAAACTTGTGTTTTGTGCCTCACTGAGCTCTTTATGTTGATTTAATGAGACAGGCAGCAATATTCAGGTATGCTTCAGGGATACTAAAACAGGCAGGCTGAATTTACATATTTATGAGACAAAACTATGTGAACTTACACACACACACACACACACACACACACAGAGAGAGAGAGAGAGAGAGAGAGAGAGAGAGAGAGAGAGAAATTATGTCACTGTGGCGTTTTAATTTAAATGCTTTACGTGAATAATATTTCCCAAGGTTGCATTATTGATAAACATTTCCTACATCTTGAGGAAATCCTTTGAAATTAGATTCTAGATCTACATTAATGCTAAGTAAGTAATGAGTAATAAGAGGTACTGAATAGGAGTGGTGGAAGCAATGGGGAAAAAAACAAAAACAAAACAAAAAAACCCCAACTAAGTTGGGTTTTTTTTTTTCTATTTTCTTTCTAAGATAAGATAGGGCAAGTACTTAATTCCTTACTTTCCCTATGTCAAGGTTTATTTGAGCTGTATGTGTGTGTCAGTGTGTAATAAAACACAATAACCAAAATCAGGTCTTAAAGTGTTATTGCTTTGAAAATATATCACCATTCCTCAAACTTTGGTTTGCATTTATTGACGGAGGTGATGTCAAGCACACAGACATAAAATAGCAGCTCTAATTATTACAAAAATAAAGAAGCAGGAAGGACAAGAAGTTATTTGGTCTTTGTCTTCTTAGTCTTCTCTCACCTACAGGCAGATGACGTTTTTATTTTTTAAGAACATATCTGAACTGATTTAATTTTCCACAGAGACAGTTTTAGATGTATTTATCAGAACAGATCTTCAAAAATCTGAAACTAACTATGTCTTAGCCAGGTATATGAGGTATTTTGTTTTGTTTCAAAGAAACTGCTATTGTTACTCAGATAAGCTACCCCCAGAGCAAATGAGAAGCAAACAGAGCAAATGAGAAGCAAAAGAGTAGCCCTGCGGGAAGTATAGAGAAAGGAGGACTGGACTGAAATTAGAGAATTTTTTTATTTAGTTACTGAAATCCTCTAAAGAAATATTCTTCAGTGGGGCCTTTATATTTCCTGTCCTCCACCCAATACTGAGGACAAGCAGAGTTGGATTTGGACACACTCCTTCTTGCAAGGTTTTCCAGTGAGGAGGTGAGTACATGTTTTATGGGATACAATTTCCCAGTGAGCTATAAGTGAAATGAAAGATGTAATGATGTCCTCAAACCAGGCTTCCCTTTTGGCTAAGTTCTAGCTGAACATATATTTGTTATCATTTCTTTGAGATATGAAAGATGTACTACAATAAATACATCAACTGTCACAGCTATGCCTGTATCTATCTCCTAATCACAACACATTTATTATTTTAATAGTAGTTGAAGCCGGGCTCGGTGGCTCAGCCTGTAATCCCGTGCCTTTGGGAGGCTGAGGTTAGTGGATTGCCTGAGCCCGCGGGTTTGAGACCCGCCTGGGCAGCAAGACCTTATCTTTACAATAAATCAAAAAATCAGCCGGGCGTGGTAGCGCATGCCTGTAGTTCCGGCTACTCGGAAGGCTGAGGTGGAAGGACTGCCAGAGCCCAGCAGGTCGAGGCTGCGGTGGCCGGGAGCGGCCACTGCAGTCCAGTCTGGGTGACTGAGTGAGACTCCAACTCAAAAAAAAAAAAAAATAGTAGTTGAAACAAATTCTAGGATGGGCAACTTGTAGAGAAATGCTCCATGAAAAAACTATTTACTAATTTTGATGAAGTCAGGATTATACAAGATTGCAAACAATGTTTACACTGTATACTATATTTTCAGATAATTTGGGATATGAAGATGTTCAAAATGAACCCTTGCAGAAGGTCCTGAACACATTCACTTAACAAAGCAGAAATCCAGAAAGCAGAAATCCAGAAAGCAAGATTGTTTCAGAAACAAAAACCAGAAACAAAGACTGGAGAGTAAATGGTTGTTTCCTGGACTAGAAAAGTCTCAGTTCAGAAATACTGCATGTTTTCTTTTAATCTATATGCGGGCCAGTTATTCAACCACAGTTGATGATCTCTCAGAACCCCAGGGGGGAAGCATGGCCTTTCTCCTCATGACAGCTGTCACATACATCCTGTCAATAACAAGTACAACCAAAACCAACTTTAAAGTCGGTTTTATTTGACATAATAGGAGAGATAAAGAACCACTGGAGGTAGAAAGATCATGACAAATGGGGTCGAAGGTATTTCTACTGAAAAACAGTTCTCTAAAGCAAAATGAAAGAGTGTACTAATCTAAGAAATACCTCTACATAATGAAATAAAGATATTTGGATTCATTTATAGGACGAAAAAACATTCTTTCTAGTACTGACTAAAAAAGGTCTATTACTAACAGGAAAAAGCTGTGTTTAGGGCCACGTTTTCATGACTTCCACAGCAATTTGTATTCATGTGTGAAAAGTGAAGCTCTTATAGAATCTGGAAGCAACAAACAGAAATGAAAATAGATGATCTGAAAGTCACCAAGAATAAGCTCTTTAGGCAAATGTCTTTCTTGCTGCTATATTATACATCAGCAGGGAGACCATTTTTCAAACTGGTTATGAGGGCTGACTTCCAAGGCAATAGTGTGAACAGCACCTCACAGCCACAGTAGTCAGCAGTGGGTTATCTATATGAGCCAGGAGACTGGACATCTTCCATGATCCTCCGTGGTTACTCGTTTACTCAGCCCTTAAAATCCGACTGAGTTACTACACACCCAACTAGAGTCATGGTACATTTTACAACTGTTTAATGCTAGTGGTGACCCCACAATGAACCCCTTTGTTTAAGACATTCATTCTTTATTTTGGCTTCCTGAAGATCTGTTATGTATTTTCTCTCAGAGAAGTTTTATTGGGGGTAGGGAGAACAGATGAAGAGTATAAAATGGCAATCACAGGATGAGGTTTACCTACCTACACTGAAGTTCCTTACTCTACAAAATGGCACACCTCTGAAAGAACCCCTTTGATGAGTGTGCCCTTCATAATGACCTGCACTACTTAAGTGATAGTCAGGGAAGGTTTGAAAACACAGGCTGGTACTATGTCACTGTTACTGGCTCACATTCAGGATTGAGGTCATTGTATTTTTTTTTTCTATTGATAAACATGAGTTTTCCAGCTCAGTGTCTTAAAATCTAGTTACTGAGGAAATGCTCTGCATAAGGAACTTAATGATCCAAAACTGGAATAGCAGGGATCTGGAATGAGGTGTGTCAGGAGAGCTATGCTATTTACATATGGGCAAAGCTTACACAGGCTGTTCTGCATCATCCTTGCTGCTATTAATAAAATTTATACTCTTCATGAGCAGCTTATTTAGAATGAGTCTTACATGATTGAAAGTACCCAAAATGGAAAGGAACCTTGAACCATCTCTGTCCTAGTACCCCGATAATTAACAGACTATGTGTCCAGGATATAAAATGACTACCTGGTGATAGGTATGATTTGTAACTGTTGTTCCCTAACTACAACCTTCAGTTGATTCAAGCAATTTTCTTTGTACATCAAGTAACTCTTTTCCTGTGGCTCATGCTATTTGTTTTCTTCTTGATATGACATTCCTTTCTCTTTTGCTCCCAAATCTCATCTATCCTTGAAAATTTGCAAAGCGTTCTCAAAATCTGTTTTCTAACTCCTCTTTCACATTTGCATCTCTGTTTTCTGAATTCTGACTATACTGCTAATCAGTTTCATGATTTAGTACACAATATTTTCCACATGTGTTAACCCTACTGTTTTTTTGAGCATCAAGTACCTCATCCCCCCTTACACTGCTGAACTCACAGTTCTTGTATCCCAGCCAAACCAGTGGTGTGGGTTCATTTTCCAGACCCTCAGTAATAGACTTTTCTGTTGATACTGATCTTTAGAAAACTCCATACTTTCATGACACCAAAATAATTATTTTAAAGAGGCTGACCTGAAATGCACAAGGGGTATTGTCCACACAGTAAACTCTTAAGTTGTAATCCAGGGAGTTACAGGACATGCAGCCAAAAACTGCCACCTTGAGTTGCTTTACGGCACAGTCTGTGATTGGCTCTCCAGTGAGGGCATATGTCCCAAAGCTGTCTAGGAGCACATGACATGCAAAGGGGTCCAAAAGGCAGTAACAGGACGTGGATTCATCCTCCACTGACATCACTTCCTGTTGGTGAAAGGTGTGTTAAATTGTCTCACCTTGGAAATAAGATGTGATTTAACCATTACATCACCAGGACATATATAAACAAACAAACAAATATAAGTAAAATTTTCAGAATATTTTTATTGTCCTAATTTTCTTGATGACAAATGTTTCTCTTTCTATCAAAATAACTGCTTACATCAAGAACTCAATAAATGGCTACATCCAGCATGTTGTAGTTTCTACTTAATTGGTTATAAAGCAAAACTCACTTTGAGAGTTCTATTTCTGGTTAACTTGCTCAATGTCAAGTTTAAAAAAGATTTTTAACATTAATGTCAATAAGCAAACTTACAAGGGTCTATTTCTGAAAACTCTTTAAATATCCTTAAGGTAATGTTTATTTTCTTTCAAACATTTTTATCTTCTTTTATTCCTCCAAAATCACTCACAGGGACCACTAGATAAAGGATTTTGATAAGATGTACTAGAATATTTCACCCTCCCTGATAAGGATTTTGGTATGTGTTGCCTGGTTTGGTAGAGCATAAATATAACACCATCTGTGTGTAAGAGATTGGGAGGAAGTGCTGGGAAGAAAAAGCGAAGTGGCAAAAATCAAGGCAAACCCAAACATAATGGGAAGGGGACCAAAACATGGTCTTTTATGAAACCCGTGGAATTTCATGCTCTAGGAAATCTGCTCACAGTTGTGCTAGGACTGACTAAATAGCAGAATGCATTCCGGAACAAAGAAAATAGTCTAGTTTCAAGACATAGCTAGGCAGGGTAAATATAATCCATTGCAGCAATTGGGAATTTTCTTCTCCTAAAGAAACATGATTTCCTTTTACTTCTTTTGCCTGAAGCACCTCCTGGGAGGCAAGATCCCAGGGCTAGTTGGAACAGGTCATTGTGTTCCAACAAGATAATTCACCTGCTTTCATGCAAACTGACTTCAGAGGGACATAAAGGAAGCCCTATCAGATAGATAAATCAGAGCTTTTGCTTAAAATAGTAATGCAACTACAATCTTTCTTTGCTGTGAGATCTCCCCTGTTGTTAACCTCCTATTATATATCCTCATTCTCTTTCTTGTCTCTCTCTTTGTTCTCTACTTGTACTGTGTCCCTTTTGCATGTACTCACACACAGGGAAACAGACACTAATAATGATTCTCAATGCATCCATTAACTTACCAAATATACAAGGAAGTGAGGAAAGTCAGCGATCAGGTAGATAAATGTAAATATCTGTGTAAGGAATTACAACTGTGTTCTAAAACCAAACAAAAAAGTTCTAGATTCTTCCTTGTCTCTCTTTTCCATTATCATAAAAAAAAAAACAACTATCCAATACCTTAAAGATATCAGAAAATACTTGCCACCAAATGCTGACGCATTGTGTTAAGACAAGTTATGGTTAAATCTATCCCATAGGTGGAACCCAAATACCATTGTTTAAAAAAGGATGAATAGGGTCTCACCTCCCATTTGCCCTGCTGTGTCCTCTTCTTTAAATGGATATTCCAGTGCTCAGAACTGACATCTGCACAGTGTGGAATGGTCAGAGCAAAGGGAGTAGTGACGATCATGTCTGGAGGCCCACAGGTAACTTCAGGACTCAGGAGTACCTCAGATCCATCTGACTGGAGACTTTGGAAAAATATTAAAAGGGAGAGGCATATAAAAAAGTGGACATATTTGAATGAGAATTGAGTTACCCACTGGGGTTTTCTTCAGGTTCATCAAAATCCTCTCCAGGATTCCCTTCTAGAGAGCACCACATTTACAGAAGGCTGGCCTGGAAAACAAGCATTTGTCTTGAACTTCTCCGGTATACGGGTTGAATTTATGCCTAGATTTCAAATCTAGGTTTTGACACAAAAACAGGAGACAAATGCTTGTTTGGAAATACAGAGCAGAATTGGAGAACTCAGAGACTTGGCTGGTGGGTCACACTAGCTGCTGAATCTTTATTCTTATTGGTAACATTATCAACAGTCAAACAAGAACTTTATAGATATGACTGATCTCATAATCTTATTATCAGATTCCTATCTCCTGATGCTGGTATGTGATGAAACAAATTATTAGGACACAAAACAGCACTTCAAATCTATACAGATTGAGAAGGTTCATTCTGACTTTGAAAACATTTATATTTTGCCAACACACAAATACATAGGTTATATAGTAACAGCACAGTAGACATCTATAAACATGTATGACTAAAAAATACATACATATATCTCTTTCAACTTTTTCTTATTTTAGATCTAAATTTAAAATCTTTCTCCCCAAACCTAGTGTTCAGATTTTTCTATATTGTTAATTACTTACATTGGGAATTCAGAGTCATGAAACAGAGAAAACAAAGTAAAAGGGGAATAATAACAGCTCACTGAATGCATCTCTCTTTCATTTTCTTGGCTTTTATTTTTTATCTTTGCCCCAAAACAGTAAGAAGGAAGAGGCTACAGAAAAACAAACAGTGAGAAGATGTCAGTAGTCCACTTATTTTGCTCCCAACTGCATATGTGTTCTTTAACAAGCTATTTGATCTTTTTGTTTGCTGGATTTTTACTTGTAATAAATATGATATTGGATATAGAGCAATGCTACATTAAAGCTAGAATTGGTATTGTTATCAAAGCTTTCACTTATACTACCTAGGAAGGACATTTAAATATGTCATCCATGATCAAAAAAGCCCCTTGGACAACATAAAGATGAAAATCAGTGCTAAAAGATACCACCTTCCCACAATCTTATGTAAGCAAAGGGTTTTTCTATGAGGGCACCTAGAATGCTCTTAATTTCTGCATCGCTTTTGTTGACATCTCCTGTTCTCTTTCAAGTTAGTAATGGCACACTTGAGTTCCTTATTTATAATCTGCTGCTGCAATTAAGCCACACCATATAACTGAACAGGAACATTTCATATCTATTGTACCCAACACAGCACATGTAACATTGTTAAACCATCTCCTTCCCCCTCCAACAAGCACTGAAGATGCCTTCAAAAAGCTGTCTTAGCTGAGTGCCATAGTTCATACCTATAATTCTAGCACTTTGGGAGGCCAAAGTGAGAGGACTGCTGAAGTTCAGGAATTTGAGACCAGCCTAGGCAACATAGTGAGAACATGTCTTTACAAAGAAACAAAAAATTAGTCAGGAGTGGTGGTGCATTCCTATAGTTCCAGCTACTTGAGAGGCAGAAGTAGAAGGATTGCCTGAGCCCAGGAGGTTGAGGCTGTGATAAGCTATGATCATACTACTGCACTCTAGCCTGGATAACAGAGTGAGACCCCCAACTCAAAAATAAAAACAAACCAACAAAGTTTAATTTTCCACAAAGGTAATCACAGTCCCAAGCAGACAGTTCTTTCCATACAAACCAAACATAGGTTAAGCTGAGCATACGCCTGCATTTACATGCCAGCAGGGCAGGGGTGGGGGAGGACTGGAAAGCAGTGCATTATCAATATCAAATGCACTAAGAAAACCTCAAACACTACTTGAGGTTTGAAAAAAATATAAAATTCAAATGTGCACTACCACCACCAGCACAAAGTGGTAGTCTGCACGTGGGTGCCTGCCACCCAAGAAGGTTAAGCGCTCTCTGAAATCACTGCCCACATTCATCTTGGACAAGAATAGCAGGGATGCTTATGAGTGACCGATGACAAGCTCTCCTAAAAGAAGTATTTAATTACTTTCAGAGAATCATCCCCCTTGTTGAACATATTGTTCAAACATATGGGAATTTGGGGAATTATTTAATGCCAAATGAACTGAAATCAGTTAATTAGATGAACTCTCACACTCATCGTGAATAGTGAGGCTCCTTTCACAGTAATAACTTAAACAGCATTAGGAGTCAGAGTCAGTGCACCCTGAGTATTATACTGAGCATGGAATAGGAGTTTTGCATTAAATCAGCATTGGGCATTTCCATAAGTGCAAAATAAATGAAAATTTATATTTAATCCTCCTACTGTGAAAAGAGTGTCTGTGGGTGTAGGTCTCTGTCTCGCTCTCTGGTGAAGGAATAAAACCTAATCTATTTTTTTCCATGATTAATAATAATTTGCCCTTTTCTGCCACCTTCTATCTGTGGTAATCAGGGAGATTTACAAATATTAATTAAAGCTCTTCACACACCTGTGGAGGTAGGTGTTAACAGCATAAGGTCACAGAGGAGTCAATCAAGGTGATGTCAGCAAAATCGTCTGAAATTTCTCACTCTTGCTCTTGCTCTCTGTGACCAGATTGTACTTTTCTTCTCTGTTCCTATTAGGAGATTGCTGGGTCTTATGAAATCTCAAGGAAAGATGGGGGAATGTGGGGGCAATGCATTCCAAGTGTAGTCATGGATACAGCTTCAGGATATTTGAGGACAGAGAACAGGGGAGAGAAGACTTTAAGTTGGTGTGGACAAAAATGAAGCTTTGTGAGGAAAGCATGGATGGCATTCAAGCTTCCCCATATTGTATAATCTGTGATAAGGCAGTATGCATGGCCCTCTGGAAACAAAAGGCAACACATTTTTCTAAAATTTCTGTGAGTTAATAATAACTGTGAACTAATAACAGCATGATTTCAGAACCAAAATATGAACCACCTCAGGGTATCTCACACCTTCATATGGTCTGTAGACTGAAAAACCTTTTTGCATGGAACTTTGGTTACTTATCTTTTTCACCATTCTCTATGCATTTACATATGTACATATATAACGCATAGTTGAAATGCTGTGAATGGACAGATAAAGTTCAATATTTTAAGAACCAGGTCTTATTTCTATAGAAACTCTTTCTGAGATGGCTAACGGATTCAATAAATTGTCACTGTACCAATATACTCTTCAATGAAAATTTTCAGTGCCTTAGAAATGTGCACGATGGGCATTTAAGGCTCCTTGGCAATGATGCTGATCTCCCTGCTTTTATCTTTGCTTCCCACAGTCCTCAACGCAGCCACCTGAGTCATCCTACTAAGAATGCCAGACTGTTCTTGCCTCATAAATTGTTACTGTTCCTGCTGCTCTAGGGTGCTGGGAGCTGCCTCTAAGAGTTTTCCTTCAGACACCCACATTTTTTAGCTTCTCCAATGACACCTGCTAATGAGACTTTCCCTTTCCCTGACCAGGCCTTGGTAACTGCAACCTTCCCTCCACTAAAAGTTGAACCTTGCTTTGCTTTCTCTTCTCAACACCTAATGCCCTTTAGTATACTATACTATTTACTTATGTATTTTTTTTTTTTTTTTGAGTTGGAGTCTCACTCTGTCACCCAGACTGGAGTGCAGTGGCCACTCCCGGCCACCGCAGCCTCGACCTGCTGGGCTCCAGCGATCCTTCTGCCTCAGCCTTCCGAGTAGCCGGAATTACAGGCACGCACTACCACGCCCGGCTAATTTTCTGATTTTATTGTAGAGATGAGGTCTCGCCTGCCGAGGCGGGTCTCGAACCCGCAGGCTCAGGCAATCCACTCACCTCAGCCTCCCAAAGGCGCGGGATTACAGGCTGAGCCACCGAGCCCAGCTACTTATGTATTTTTTTAATTTTCTTTTTTTTTGAGTTGGAGTCTCACTGTCGCCAAGGCTGGAGTGCAGTGGCACACTCATGGCCACCGCAGCCTCAACCTGCTGGGCTCAGGTGATACTTCTGCCTCAGCCTTCTGAGTAGCTGGAACTACAGGTGCGTGCCACCACATTCAGCGAATTTTTGATTTATTGTAGAGATGAGGTCTCATCAAGTTGCCCTGGTTGGTCTTGAACCCTTGAACTCAGGTAATCTTCTCACCTCAGTCTCCCAAAGTGCTGGGATTATAGACTTGAACCACCACGCCCAGCCTACTTACGCATTTTTTACAATTTATCTCCCACAAACTAGAATGTAAGCTGATCAAGGCCGGGAAAATTTTTTTTCCCCAGCTTAGTTCATCATTATATTCCTAGTACCTAGTATATGCCAATTTTAAGCACTAAAAAATACTTGTTGAGAGAGACTTAAAAGTCAACATGAAGTGGTTCCCACTGATCAAATCTGGAAACTTCTGAGCACCAAAGTAAATAATTATAGCAGAGAATTATAACCCATTGGTTAATACTATAAGAATTCACAAAATAAGAATTCACATTCAGGGGCAACCCCTTCGAGTCCCCTCCTACTGTGGGAGCTTTTCTGTCCTCTCAATAAATCCTGCTTTATATATATATATATATATATATATAAACATACTGATATGAATGAATCAATGAGAAGGAAAAACTCTTCCGTACAAGAGAAAACCAACTACAAAATGGGGAAAACCATCAATTAGTATTGAACTACATTGATGCATGATTCATCAAGAATTTTAAATGGATGCTAACCTGTTTGTTGAAAGATCAAAGAGCAATAAAGAACAATTTACATGGTTTCCAAAGTATCTTCCCACAAGATACTTGACGAATTACAAAGATAAAATATTACTTCACTATGGAGAGCCTTGGCAAATACCACCTAACATTGTTAGGTATGGGGGGAATCCACAGAACATATAATATCTCCTGAAAGGACACAGTGAAGAGAACTTAGCATGATTCTGAGACATTGCTGCCAGAAGCATACAACCTAAACTCTCGAGGAAACCTTAGACCAGCTCAGA